TCGTAGCTCATACCTCTCAGCTCGGGTACTAGTCTGGTGGCAAACCGTTGAACCTTTTCCAGTTTAGTCTTATGCTTGACTAGATATGGACTCTATGCTGGAGCCGCATACTCCAGGATTGGTCTGACATATGTGGTATATAATGTTCTGAAAGATTCATTACACAAGTTTCTAAAGGCCGTTCTTATGTTAGCCAACCTGGCATATGCTGCTGATGTTATCCTCTTGATATGAGCTTCAGGGGACAGGTCTGGCGTGATATCAACCCCCAGGTCTTTCTCTCTCTCTGACTCTTGAAGTATTTCATCTCCCAAGTGATACCTTGTATCTGGTCTCCTGCTTCCTACCCCTATCTTCATTACATTACATTTGCTTGGGTTAAACTCTAACAGCCATTTGTTCGACCATTCCTGCAGCTTGTCCAGGTCTTCTTGAAGCGTCTAGCTGTCCTCCTCTGTCTTAATCCTTCTCATAATTTTGGCGTCGTCAGCAAACATTGAGAGGAATGAGTCTATACCCTCTGGGAGATCATTTACGTATATCAGAAACAGGATAGGTCCAAGCACAGAGCCCTGTGGGACTCCACTGGTGACTTCACGCCATTCTGAGGTCTCACCCCTCACTATAACTCTCTGCTTCCTATTGCTTAGGTACTCCCTTATCCACTGGAGCGCCCTACCAGTTACTCCTGCCTGTTTCTCCAGCTTATGCATCAACCTTTTATGGGGTACTGTGTCAAAGGCTTTCCGACAGTCCAAAAAAATGCAGTCCGCCCATCCTTCTCTTTCTTGCTTAATCTTTGTCACCTGATCGTAGAATTCTATCAAGCCTGTAAGGCAAGATTTACCCTCCCTGAACCCATGTTGATGGGTTGTCACGAAGTCTCTTCTCTCCAGATGTGTTACTAGGTTTTTTCTCACAATCTTCTCCATCACCTTGCATGGTATACAAGTTAAGGACACTGGCCTGTAGTTCAGTGCCTCTTGTCTGTCACCCTTTTTATATATTGGTACTACATTAGCAGTCTTCCATATTTCTGGTAGGTCTCCCGTTTCCAGTGACCTACTATACACTATGGAGAGTGGCAAGCAAAGTGCTCCTGCACACTCTGTCAATACCCATGGTGAGATTCCATCCGGCCCACAGCTTTTCTCACATCCAGCTCCAATAGGTGCTTCTTGACCTTATCTCTTGTAATTTCGAACCTTTCCAAGGTCACCTGGTTTGCTGCCACCTCTCCTAGCGCCGTGACTTCTCTCTGTTCTATTGTAAAGACCTCCTGGAACCTTTTGTTGAGTTCTTCACACACCTCTTTGTCATTCTCTGTGTACCTGTCCTCGCCCACCCTAAGTTTCATCAACTGTTCCTTCACTGTTGTCTTCCTCCTGATGTGACTGTGTAGTAGCTTTGGTTCGGTCTTGGCTTTATTAGCTATATCATTTTCATACCTTTTCTCAGCTGCTCTTCTCACACTAACATACTCGTTCCTGGTTCTCTGGTATCTCTCTCTACTTTCTGGTGTTCTGTTATTACGGAAGTTCCTCCATGCCCCTTTGTTCAGCTCCTTTGCTTTCATACATTCCTTATTAAACCACGGATTCTTCCTTTGCTTCTCTGCTTTTTCCTGTTGGGCTGGGAAAAACCTGCTTACAGCCTCCTGACATTTTTGGGTGACATAGTCCATCATGTCTTGTACGGACTTAGTTCCGAGTTCTGTGTCCCAATGTATATCCCATAGGAATTTATTCATCTCCTCATAGTTTCCCTTTCGGTACGCCAGCCCTTTGTTTCCCAGTTCATTTTTGGGGGTGATAATTCCTAGCTCAACCTGGTACTCAAAGCTCAATACACTATGATCACTCATTCCCAAGGAGGCTTCCAACTTAACTTCCCTTATATCCGGCTCATTTAGGGTAAATATCAGATCAAGCAAGGCTGGTTCATCCCCTCCTCTCATTCTGTGTGTGTGTGTGTGTGTGTGTGTGTGTGTGTGTGTGTGTGTGTGTGTGTGTGTGTGTGTGTGTGTGTGTGTGTGTGTACTCACCTAGTTGTACTCACCTAGTTGTGCTTGCAGGGATTAAGCTCTGGCTCTTTGGTCCCGCCTCTCAACTGTCAATCAACTGGTGTACAGATTCCTGAGCCTACTGGGCTCTATCATATCTACATTTAAAACTGTGTATGGAGTCAGCCTCCACCACATCACTGCCTAATGAATTCCATCTGTTAACTACTCTGACACTGAAAAAGTTCCTTCTAACGTCTCTGTGGCTCATTTGGGTACTCAGTTTCCACCTGTGTCCCCTTGTTCGCGTCCCACCCATGTTAAACAGTTTATCTTTATCTACCCTGTCAATTCCTCTGAGAATTTGATCATGATCATTTAATTTGATTCATTTGAATCAATTTTGATTTGATCATTTGATCATGATCACTACTAGGTAGTGATCATGACCCCCCTTACCCTTCTGTCTTCCAGTGTCGTAAAGTGCATTTCCCGCAGTCTTTCTTCGTAACTCATGCCTCTTAGTTCTGGGACTAGTCTAGTGGCATACCTTTGGACTTTTTCCAGCTTCGTCTTGTGCTTGACAAGGTACGGGCTCCATGCTGGGGCCGCATACTCCAGGATTGGTCTTACATATGTGTTGTACAAGATTCTGAATGATTCCTTACACAGGTTCCTGAAGGCTGTTCTGATGTTAGCCAGCCTCGCATATGCCGCAGACGTTATTCTTTTTATGTGGGCTTCAGGAGACAGGTTTGGTGTGATATCAACTCCTAGATCTTTCTCTCTGTTCGTTTCATTAAGTACTTCATCTCCTATTCTGCATTCTGTGTCTGGCCTCCTGTTTCCGATGCCTAGTTTCATTACCTTGCATTTACTCGGGTTGCACTTTAGTAGCCATTTGTTGGACCATTCATGCAGTCTGTCTAGGTAATCTTGTAGTCTCATACTGTCTTCCTCCATCTTAATCCTCCTCATAATTTTTGCATCATCAGAAAATAATGAGAGAAATGATTCTATACCCTCTGGAAGATCATTTACATATATCAGAAACAGTAGAGGTCCAAGGACTGATCCCTGCGGGACCCCACTGGTGACGTCTCGCCAATCTGAGACCTCACCCCTCGCTCTGACTCACTGCCTTCTGTTGTTTAGGTACTCCCTTATCCAATGGAGTACCTTCCCTTTCACTCCTGCCTGCATCTCCAGCTTTCCCAGCAGTCTCTGGTGTGGCACTGTGTCAAAGGCTTTCTGGCAATCAAAAAATATGGAAGCTGCCAACCACTTCTCTTTCTTACCTGATTTTTGTTGCCTAATCGTAGAAATCAATTAATCCTTTGAGGCATATCTTGCCATCCCCCCTGGAAACACAAACCGTAACTGTCTCTATTCTCCTCTTGTTACCACTGGTAATAAAGCTGTTACATCTTGGCTTAACGTGTCAATGACGTATTAGAACGTTGTTACAACGTGCTATATTGTTTGTTATAACTGGTTAGGAGATGTTAAAACTTGTTCGAACGTTGTACCAACGTCGTAGTTTCGGTGTGTGTTTGGCGGGCCTGAACCTATGTTGGTGCTGTGTTACAAAGTTCCTTGGCTCCAGATGTTCCACAAGCTTTTTTAGCACAATCTTCTCCATCAGCTTGCATGGTATGCAGGTTAGGGACACTGGCCTGTAGTTCAGTGCCTCCTGTTTATTCCCTTTCTTGTATATCGGGACTACATTTTCCATCTTCCAAATTTTTGACAATTCACCTGTTTCCAGTTATTTGTTATAGACCATGGAGATTGGCAGGCACAGTGCTTCTGCTCCTTCCTTTAGTATCCATAGGGAGATTCCATCCGAGCCTATAACCTTTGTCACATTCAACTCTAGCAAAAGCCTTCTTACGTCCCCACTGGTAATCCCAAACTCCTCTAGTGGTGCCTGGTTAACTATTTCTTCTCTTATCTCTGGAACTTCTCCTTGCTCTAATGTGAAGACCTCCTGGAATTTCTTATTGAGTTCCTCACACACTTCCTTGTTGTTTGTAGTTCATCTGTCTACCACTATCCTCAGTTTCATTACCTGTTCCTTCACTGTTGTTTTTCTCCTGATGTGGCTGTGCAGCAAGTTAGGTTGAGTCTTAGCTTGGCTTGCTTTGTTATTTTCGTATTGCCCTTCTGCCTCTCATCTCAACCTGACATATTCATTCCTGGCACTCTGGTATCCTCCTCTACTCTCAAGTGTCCTATTACTTCTATGGTTTCTCCATGCCCTTGTACTTAATTGCTTCTTAGCGTACATCGCTGATTACATCATGAGTTTCTCATCTGCATTTTTTCTTTTAGGACCGGGATAAACTTGTCTGTTGCCTCCTTATACTTCTGTGTGATGAAGTCCATCATGCTTTGGACCGCCATTCCCTTGAGCTCAGATTCCCAAGTTATATCTGTTAGGAATTTTCTTATCTCATCATAGTTTCCCTTTCGGTATGCTAACCTTTTGTTTTCTGGGCCCTTCCTTGAGTATACTGTGAAACTGTGTATGGAGTCAGCCTCCACCACATCACTGCCTAATACCATATGCTGCCCCTACCAGAGTTCTCTAGAGACCGGTGGAGGTGTTGGTATGCTGACCCTGCCAGAGTTCTCTAGAGACCGGTGGAGGTGTTACTATGCTGCCCCTGCCAGATGGCTCCAACACACACCCGCCTCCTCAGGCTTCCTCAATGGCTCGCCAACTCCCTCCCGCCATGAGCCATCACTAAACCTTTTAGGCAAGATCACTTGCCTTAAAGATTACTGAAATCCTTCCCGAGAGTCGGTTCCTAGCGGCTATGAGCGTTAACAAAAGCCTCAGGAAAAGGAGTTATTCGTCTCTCTGCCATTTCCAGCTTCCACGACTTACACTCCAGAGTGGTTCATTATTTACCTTCTAGACTTACACTCCAGAATGGTTCATTATTTACCTCCTACATATATAATGATTTATCTTCTATTGGTTTTTATGTAGAATTGTTAATACTGCAGCTATTATTGCTGGTAATGATACTGCTACTTATACTGCTACTTACACTGCTATAAATACTGCAATTATTACTACTAATACTTATACTGCAGCTATTGTTACTGCTACTTATACTGCAGCTATTGTTACTGCTACTTATACTGCTGCTATTATTACTGCTACTTATACTGCAGCTATTGTTACTGTTACTTATACTGCAGCTATTGTTACTGTTACTTATACTGCAGCTATTGTTACTGTTACTTATACTGCAGCTATTGTTACTGCTACTTATACTGCTGCTATTATTACTGCTACTTATACTGCAGCTATTGTTACTGCTACTTATACTACAGCTATTTTTACTGTTACTTATACTGCAGCTATTACTTCGGCTACTTATACTGCAGCTATTGTTACTGCTAATTATACTGCAGCTATTGTTACTGCTACTTATACTGCTGCTATTATTACTGCTACTTATACTGCAGCTATTGTTACTGCTACTTATACTGCAGCTATTTTTACTGTTACTTATACTGCAGCTATTACTTCGGCTACTTATACTGCAGCTATTACTTCGGCTACTTATACTGCAGCTATTGTTACTGCTAATTATACTGCAGCTATTGTTACTACTACTTATACTGCAGCTATTTTTACTGTTACTTATACTGCAGCTATTATTACTGCTACTTATACTGCAGCTATTGTTACTGCTACTTATACTCCAGCTATTTTTACTGTTACTTATACTGCAGCTATTGTTACTGCTACTTATACTGCAGCTATTGTTACTGCTACTTATACTGCAGCTATTACTTCGGCTACTTATACTGCAGCTATTGTTACTGCTACTTATACTGCAGCTAATGGTACTGCTACTTATACTGCAGCTATTGTTACTGTTACTTATACTGCAGCTATTGTTAACGCTACTTATACTGCAGCTATTGTTACTGTTACTTATACTGCAGCTATTGTTACTGTTACTTATACTGCAGCTATTGTTAATGCTACTTATAAGAACATAAGAACAAAGGCAACTGCAGAAGGCCTATTGGCCCATACGAGGCAGCTCCTATCTATAACCACCTAATCCCACTCACATACATGTCCAACCCGCGCTTGAAACAATCGAGGGACCCCACCTCCACCACGTTACGCGGTAATTGGTTCCACAAATCAACATCCCTGGTACTGAACCAGTATTTACCCAAGTCTTTCCTAAATCTAAATTTATCCAATTTATACCCATTGTTTCGTGTTCTGTCCTGTGTTGATACTTTTAATACCCTATTAATATCCCCCCGGTTATGTCCATTCATCCACTTGTAAACCTCTATCATGTCACCCCTAACTCTTCGCCTTTCCAGTGAATGCAATTTAAGCTTTGTTAATCTTTCTTCATATGAAAGATTTCTAATTTGGGGAATTAACTTAGTCATCCTACGCTGGACACGTTCGAGTGAATTTATATCCATTCTATAGTACGGCGACCAAAACTGAACTGCATAATCTAAATGGGGCCTAACTAGAGCAAGATATAGCTTGAGAACCACACCAGGTGTCTTGTTACTAACGCTTCGATTAATAAACCCCAGTGTCCTATTTGCCTTATTACGAACATTCATGCATTGATCCTTTTGTTTTAAATTCTTACTAATCATAACTCCCAGATCCCTTTCGCAATCTCAACACCATCTAGCGCGTATCTTGTAACTCTGTCATCATTACCTAGCCTCAGAAATTTACATTTATCAGCATTAAACTGCATCTGCTAATCTTTTGACCATTTCAAAACCCTATTTAGATCAACTTGAAGTGATAGTGAGTCTTCTTTCGTGTTAATTTCCCTACCGATTTTTGTATCATCGGCAAATTTGCAGATGTTGCTACTCAAACCTGAATCTAAATCATTTATATAAATTATAAACAACAGAGGTCCCAGGATAGAGCCCTGAGGTACTCCACTAACAGCATTATCCCACTCTGACTTAACCCCATTTATACTAACTCTGTTTCCTTTGGTATAGCCATGCCCTAATCCAACTTAATATAGCACCCCCAATACCATGAGCCTCTATCTTTTTTATCAGTCTTTCATGTGGCACTGTATCAAAATCTTTGCTAAAGTCAAGGTACACAACATCACAATCCTTACCACTATCAACTGCCTCAACTATGTTGGAATAAAAAGATAGCAAATTTGTTAAACATGAACGGCCATTTGTAAAACCATGTTGCGATTCATTTATTAATTTATGTTTTTCAAGATGAAGACGAATTGTATTTGCAATTATCGATTCAAGTAACTTTCCGACAATAGACGTTAAGCTAATTGGCCGATAGTTTGACGCAAGTGATCTATCTTCTTTCTTAAAAATTGGTACCACATTAGCTACCTTCCATGACTCTGGCACTCTACCTAACTCTATTGATTTATTAAATATGGTAGACAGTGACCCGGAAAGCTCTTCTTTGCATTCTTTAAGCACCCTGGCAAACACTTCATCCGGCCCTGGGGATTTGTTTGGTTTTAGTTTTACTGTTTGTTTAATTACATCCTCCCTGGTAACTGCTAAACTAGTCAACCTGTCCTCGTCCCCACCCACAAATATTTGTTCGGCTGAAGGCATATTGTTAAGTTCCTCTTTAGTAAATACAGATATAAAATATTTGTTAAAAATACTACTCATCTCCTCGTCATTATCCGTTATTTGACCTGTCTCAGTTTTTAATGGACCTATCCTTTCCCTAGTCTTAGTTCGATATAACTGAAAAAAACACCTTTAGGTTTTGTCTTCGCTTGCCCTGCTATGCGAACTTCGTAGTTTCATTTTGCTTTCCTTATCTCTTTTTTAACATTTCTAACCAGTTGTACGAATTCCTGTTCTAAACTGACTTCCCCATTCTTAATCCTTTTGTACCAAGCTCTCTTTTTACTAATAAGGTTCTTCAGATCCTTTGTTATCCACTTTGGATCATTAGTATTCGATCTATTAAATTTATATGGTATACTACGTTCCTGGGCTTTGCTTAGAATACTTTTAAATAGGTTATATATTGAATCCACATCGAAATCCCCTTTTCCGTCACCTGTCGCTGGGTTCATGTCTAGGTCACACCCCATCCCCAAGACATTCCAATCTATTTGATCCAAAAAAATTCTTAGGCTATTGAAATCAGCTTTTCGAAAATCAGGCACTTTAACAGAATTTTTTCCTACAGATCTATTCCATTCTATGCTAAATCTGATTTCTTTATGATCACTGTTCCCTAGCTCACTCCCTATTTTCATGTCCTTAATTTGTGTTTCCCTGTTAGTTAACACTAAATCTAAAATATTATTTTCCCCGCGTTGGTTCCTGTGAAGAAGCTGTGACTCACAGCTTCTTCAGCAGACTGGTGAGGAGACCTTGGCTGCCTTGGGTAGACTGGTCCATCGTCCAACACAGCAGTCCCAGGTCGACTCTGCAATCAGACTCATCATTAATACTGGGACGCTTCACTCACAAGCTTAGACAGAAACGTCCACCTCTTCACTCCATAGATGGCGTTCACTGTCTAAGCACCACCTCACCAGAGGTCAGCAGAGGCTACGTCGCGAGTCAACTAGGACAGGAATCCAGCACTTATTGCTGGCCTATCCTGTCACCACAAGATGGCGTCGTCCATTTGGAGGGGGTTTCGGGAGCGGACTCACAGATGGCGTTGTCGTCGCTGCTCCATGCTCCAACGCTGGACTCGGGTCCGTAACACTGGTCTTACATCTGTAGTATACAAGATTCTGAAGGCTTCCTTACACAGGTTTCTGAAGGCTTTTCTGATGTTAGCCAGCCTCGCATACGCCCCTGATGTTATTTTTTTACATAGAATTCAGGAGACAGGTTTGGCGTGATATCAACTTCTAGATCTTTCTCTTTGTCCGTTTCATGAAGGACTTCATTTCCCATTCGGGATCCTGTGTTGGCCTCCTAGTTCCTCTGCCTAGTTTATTTACCTTGCATTTACTTAGGTTGAACTTTAGAAGCCATTTGTTGGACCATTCTATCAGTCTGTCTAGGTCATCTTGTAGCTTCATACTATCTTCCTCTTTCTTAATCCTCCTCATAATTTATACTTCAACAAACAATGAGAGGAACCAGTCTATACCCTCTGGGAGATCATTTACATATGTCAGAAACAGTATAGGTCCAAGGACTGATCCCTGTGCGACTCCACTGGTGACGTCTCGCCACTCCGAAACCTCACCCCTCACAGTGACTCGTTGTCTCCTGTGGCTTAGGTACTCCCTTATCCAATGGAGTACCTTCCCTTTCTCTCCAGCCTGCATCTCCAGCTTGTGCACTAGTCTCCTATACTTTCGCTACTGGGTGAAAAGCATTCTGGCAACCCAAAAATGTGCAGTCTGCCCATGCCTCACTTTCTTGTCTCACTTTTTTCCCTTGGTCATAGAATTCAATTAACCCTTTGAGGCTTGATTTGCCATCGCTGAACCCATGCTGCTGTTGTGTCACAAAGTTCTTTCGCTCCAGGTGTTCCACTAGCTTTCTTCGCGCAATCTTCTCCATCATCTTGCTTGGTACGCAGGTTAGGGACACTGGCCTAGCCTGACACCCTTCTTGTATATCGGGACTACATTAGCCTACTTCTAAGACTTTGGCTGTCCACCTCTTAACAGTGATTTATTATACACCATGGAGAGTGGCAGGCACAGTGCTTCTGCTCCTTCCTTCAGAATCCATCGTGAGATTCCATCCGGGCCTATAGCCTTTGTCACACCCAACTCTAGCAAATGTTTCCTCACCTCAACACTGGTAATCTCAATCTCTCCAGTGGTGCCTGGTTAGATATTCCCTCTCTTATCTCTGGAACTTCTCCTTGCTCTAATGTGAAGATCTGGAATTTCCTGTTGAGTTCCTCACACACTTCCTTGTCGTTTGTAGTGAATCCTTCTGCCTCTATCCCTATTTTAATTTATATTTATATTTATTTAATTTATATGAATTTATATAGAATTTATATTTACATTAATTTATATATTTCGATAGCAATTTGTATGATGTTAAGTGGACTGTATTTCTGCAATAATCTCACAAATCGATCCACTACACATTAGGGGGGGTTTATATTGAATTTATATATATGCAGCCAATCAAACTACAGTATTAAACTACATATTAGTATACATTGAAGAGGTTCCTTATCTTATTATACAGCCAGCTTAGTCCACCAGATATAACTAGGATGTAGACACCACATTTCCTCGTGTGAGGCAGCTTCCGTCACCCAGTAACTGATACACAAAGTTTGCTTCCTCTTCTTGTCCTGTCAAAGGCACTAGCTATAAAGCCAGAATCCTAATATATGAGAGCTATATCAGAGAAAACACTGTATAATGAATTATAAAGACCAAGGCTTAATTACCTTTTTTTAAGAGGCTCTTTGCATTCTAACCGGTACGCCCTATCTACTGACATTAATGGCCAAAAATGATTAGATAAACGGGTTTCGGCAGAACACTTTCCTTGATTATTGTTGACAGCGTGTTGATGATGGCAGACCTTTGGTTTCCATAACACTTCGTCCAAGAGAAATTAACAGGAGCTGAATTTGCTCCCGTGCGCCTCTGGTCTTAAACAAACAATGGTTGACTACTCCTTCACTAATGACGCTACTGGCCTATTTGTCCAGATGTCAGTAAGTGATAGAAGGGTCACATTTACTCTATTTTAATATTGATAATTAAGTTAATTTATATGAGATGTTTTTATGATGGTAAAGTCCAAAGACCAATGTATTTAAGAATAATTCCCAGCAGAATAGCTGGTGAATTTATAATAGTATGTGGCAATGATATCCCGTTTTCTATAGACAGAAAGTTCCACCACAAGTTACATTTTCTATGGGTTAACTTGTGTATACAATGGCAATATTATCAGCAATTGCATTGATATTATTAATTGGTGTCGGATTTTCCGACAGGAGGGGTAGGAATGGCATAAT